CTATTTCGTTGATGATTCCGGGATGTAATCATCCTAAGGGGGAGATAATTGTAACGCCCACATATTCGGGCTAGTCAATTTAAGGACAATGAGCGTCAAAAATGACTTTTTGATGGAAGATTATTTAGAAGGAGTAATCTTAACTAAGTTTTAGTATATGTTACAAGGATTCCGTACATATAAAGAACGCTGAAATCCGAGTTATAACGAAAAAGTTATGACCCGTCGAAGTTTTGCGACAGAACCGGCACGACACAGCGCGACGTAAATAGTGAATTTACGATAAAGCAATAATTGGCCTTAGTGATCAAAACGAAAGCCGTAGAATACGTTAAACCGAGAGCGTGCATAAAAAGAACGTCACAATCTGACTTCGTATGAGGAAGTTATGATTTTTCTAAGTTTCAGCTTAGCAGTAGACAGCTAAAAAGTCGAATTTTAGATCGAGTGATTTTTAGCCGACACAACCTAAACGAGAATCAAAGGTCTCGTCAATAGTAGTACAACAGTAAAAAGAATGACGAAAACGGACGTCGGATGAAGAAGTTATGAATTTTTAATGGATTTTCCTGTCCCGATCTGTTAAAAATAATAATATTAACATTAAAGTCAAAATTAGCCAATGAAGTCTAAAAGAAAGTTGTAGAGCATAATTTTACCTACGCGTGCATATAAAGAACGTTAAAAACGGAGCCCGTATGCGAAAGTTATGGATTTTAGAAGTTTGGGACACAAAAATCAAGAAAAATGCTAAAACCGAGGAATTTCGCATGGCTGGGGTTCGGCCACGTCACCTCGCATGGATAAGGTCTGATCTCGGTGAGTCACCCACCTCGTGTCCGCCACGTGCTCGTTGCTGATTCGACCGAAGGTGCAGCCCAGTAAGAACTCGACGCGCCTCGCACCGGTGGCAGGTCCGAAGCGAGCCACGTGCCTCGCCCTCGCATCCGACGCGTGTCGATGACTCCCCTCGCATCCGAGCCTCGCTGCTGCTGCTGCGTGTCCCTTCCTTCGGCCGGAGCTCCGAACCTCGCACCTTTATAAAAGGGGTGCGAGACCTCTCGGGTAACTTTAGAAAATTCACATCTTTCACCCTAAATTCAATATTTTTACTATCTCGACTTCCCCCGAAGCCTCAGTATCATACCAAACACCCGAAACACGTTCCGGAGTGCCCGAAGAGCCCGAGAAATTTATCTTTTCGGTTTTGAAGCTCAACCTTCGCAAGGCCCGGTTTTTCATTAAAAAGCTCCCGGTTTCATTGGAAACGATCATTTTAGGAAACAAAGTGCTGCCCGATTATCGTTAAATCAAGTGAGTGTGTAGTCACTTTCACCTTACACATAGATATGAAGTATTTTATATAAAATACGTGCTATGTATATATATATGTTGTTTATTTATTTGAGATGGATGTTGAATGAATGTTTTATACATGTTTAATATGATTTAAAAAGTATATATATTTTATCTTCAAATATGTTGGGTAAAACATGGGTAGATAAAGAATGAGGGATGAAAGTATGGTATAGATGTACGTTGGTAGCTATGAATTTAGTACGGTATAGATGTACGTTGGTAGCTATGGATTTAGTACCTTGGCAGCTATGGACTTAGTGTCTGTTGTATAAACCTTGACGACGATGTGACTTCCTGCCTATTTGACATAAATTGTTGAGGAAAAGCAGTTTTGTCACCCCGATGTTTGCCTTATTTGACATAAATTGCGGAGGAAAGCAATGTTGTCACCACATTGGTTGTCTTATTTGACATAAATTGTTGAGGAAAGCAGTGTTGTCACCCCATTGGTTGTCTTATTTGACATAAATTGCTGAGGAAAGCAGTGTTGTCACCCCATTGGTTGCCTTATTTGATATAAATTGCTGAGGAACCCCCGAAGCAGTGTTGTCACCCTGATGAAAATCCTTAGGCTAGGTCCCTTGTGATAGTTGTTTTAGGAACGTAAAGTGAGGATAACGAGAATGGGTAATCAGGGTTATTTTTGGTTGATGAAATTAATAAATTTATTGTTGAATGATGAAATTAATAAATTTATTATTTGTGGGTTGAAAATCTTATATGCTCACCAGGCTCCCAAGCCTGACCCACTCAGTTTCTTATATTACAGGTAGTGGCAAGAGCATAGTTGGATGACTTAACGAAGGATTTTGGATTATACGCCAGTAGATGTAAATAAATGTTGTAAGGCTTATAATATACTGTTTATGCTTTTGATCTGTATCGGAACGTGACATCCCGAGGTTTTGTTATGAAATGGAAAATATATTTCTTTAAGAAATGTTTTGATAAATTTTTATTATATTTTGTTTTGGAAACAAATTCCGCAACATCTTTTGGAAAATTACTCTGATTTTATTTTAAAAGCATAAACTAAATCGGTCTTTTCTGGCCGAGAATTTTGGGGATGTCACAAAATGGTAAAAAAAATACAACCAAAACGATGCACAACACTAAATGGAAGATGAATTCCAGTTCTTTTTACCATAATGGGTCCATGATACCCAAAGATCCAATCTTTAATACCGGAGTTTTCTAAACTCCAACTCAAATCCATAAAACGGGACCAAAACATGCATAAATCCCAAGATCCATAAAGCTAGAAGCATAAAGTTACAATCTTGAAGACTTACAAGGATCCAAAATCACAAAAGAAGGGTTAGATCTTCAAAAAATCAAACTTCTAAGAACCACCAAGGTCGTTCTTATTCTTCAAGCATCACCAAAAATAGGGTTTAACACAGAGGGTGGAGGCTGAGAATGGCATATAAGGCTATAAGTTAAGGCCATTAAATAGGGCCCAAACCCTAAAATTATGGTTTTCATGACAACAACAGTTACACGTGGCGTAGCTAAATCTATGCACAACGTAGATCTATGTGTAACATAAACCTACGTGAGGCGTAAATGAAGCTATGTGCAACGTAGACCCAGAATTATGAATTTCCAAATTTACCACAAATGACGATCTGGAAAACGGGTGTTACAACTCTCCCACATTTAATAAGATTTTGTCATTGAAATCTGTCATTGCTATATTGCAGAAGGCAATCCACACTCAAATCCTTAAAGGCTTTAACAAATTCACTCCCTTTTTTTCTACATACCAACAAAAGGTTCACGAGACCAAACACACAAGTTACCCCAAATCACAAAGACTATCAGTGTAATTTACGCTAAATTATATTTAGCTTTTATCATTTTATTGATGTTGTATTTAATCTCTCTCTCTCTCTCTCTCTCTCTCTCTCTATATATATATATATATATATATATATATATATATATATATATATATATATATATATATATATATATATATATATAGGTTTATCTTGGAACTTTCCAATGTGACTCTTCTTTATTTTAATAAAACATTTATATATAATTTATTTTAAAATACAAGAATGATATCGATAGTTCGATACATCATTTGTAATATAGTTTTGGTTTGAAATTTATCATTAATATTTAAATTTTTATGTTTGTGACATATAAATATAGATTATGAGATGAGCTTTTCTCGTTGTGCTTTTATTTCTTTAATGTCGGAAACTTGGACCTATAATCCTTTAAGAACTGAAGTTCAAATTCAAATTGTTTTTTGTGAATTTGATGTATAGTTCATTTTTTTTATATAAATTACAGCTAATAAAAAAGAAACTATTCATTGTGGTAAAATTATTTTGATCCCGATACGACAACCACAATTTTCCAAATTAAAAACGAAATATCGTTCTGGACAACCTTGCTTAGCATAATCAAAGTATGTTATATTCTAGTTATAGTGGTTTAAGTGAGAATTGAACGTATGTGCATCTATAACGAGTTATTTCAATTTTATTATTGTTGGTATTAGCTAGTTAGATTAGTTCTTCAAACTATATGTCTGGAATAAGCGATATTTAAACACACACAAAGATACAAAACTTAACGTGGTTCGGTATATGACTTACATCCGTAGACAAGGGGGTTATTCTTATCATGAGCTTAAAAACGACAAGACCATAAAACCTTAATTATCAGTTGTAGTTGTATTATATAGAAAAGTACAGAACGCGACCCTAGCTAGAACTAGGTCGGGCCCAACTACACATATCAACTACAATAGGGCCGGGCCTAACGACCTTCAGCCTACTGCAAACACTTATTCTGACGATATCGGGTGTCAGTTTTTTTTACTTTGCTTGTGCGGGTCAGATATTCATTTGTGTCTTCAATTCTTAATTAAGTCACATTTAAGACTATATTATATTATATAAAATGTGTTTTATATATAAAATTGTGCGTTATAAAAACAAATTGAGAAAATTAAGAATGGTGGTGTAAAGATACTAGGACACAAGTGGAATATACAGGACAATTTTATTGGGTGTAGCATGTATATTTTCATAACCACGATTACACGCTATTGGCATCTCTAGATTCATGCATGGTTTCTAATGTAATTAATTGGATATAAAACACGATAAAGACGAAGATACGCAAACCTTCAAATTTGCTTCCAACAAGAAAAACATTACCATGGGAGATAAAGCATGATAGAGACACATTATGAAAACTGTTTAATTTTTTTTTAATCATGTTCATCTTATTATTAAAGGTTACAATAGCGGTAACATTCTTTTGAATATTCTAATAATCTTTTATGGATCTATTTTGTTGATACATATATAAGGTAATCTTTTAAGTTAAGTATTTAAAGAGATCAATTTATTTGTTATAGAAAGATGATTTTGTTGAAGTTGCAAATTAATACCATTTTATTTACAGTATAAAAATAGTAATATTTTGTAGACGAATATACCGGTACTTGTACTAGTATTTTTATTAGCTAAGCGCCTAAGCTAATTGACTTGTGTCCGAATTTAAAATCCACATGATTTTCACTTTTATAAAATAATATAATAATAATAGTAGTAATAAAGATTAAATAATCCATGTTACATATTAAAAAAGGAAAAAAAAGTAGAAAATTCAACCTAAACCTCAAGTGCCTTCCTACTTTCCACCACACTACTTTCCTTAATTACACCATTTTCCCCTAAACTACCATTAATAATAAATTCATTACTTCTTACCCCCTTAAGAATTCCATATTTACTCAATAACCCCTCACCACAATCCCACAAATTCAGTACCATGTACGTTCCTATCCCGCCGATCAAACCATACGCGATGGAGTACGTCAATGGCATCAATATCAACGTCATGAACGCAGGTATCGCCTGCCGCATATCGTCCCAATCAATCTCCACCACTGATTTCATCATCAACACACCCACCAGAATCAACGGCGGACCCACCGCCCATGCCGGGATCGATGCCAGCAACGGCGTAAAGAAGAATGCCAGCATGAAATACCCTGCCACCGTCAACGCCGTTATTCCGGTCCTCCCCCCTTCCCTTATCCCTGTTGACGACTCGATGTACGCCGTTACAGGTGATGTACCAAGTAACGATCCCACCACGATTGCTGAAGCATCGGACATGAAAGCGAAGTACTGTCCTTCGAAATCCCCGTCTTCGTTGCTGAATCCGGCGAAACGTGCCATGGAATATAGGGTTCCGGTGGTGTCCAGGATGTCGACGTAAAGGAAGGTCACTAATGCTTCCCAGAAATAGCCTTTGTTGATGCTTGAAAAGCTTAATGCGCCGGCGGTTGATTGAATTTTATGAACGTCGACTATCTTTTTGAAGTACTGAAATGAAGAGTCACCGGTCGGAGTATGTGGAAAGACAGTTACTTGCGTATTACGGAACCATGAAACCGCCGTCACAAATACGATGCCATAAATCATTGCTCCTTTTATGTTTTTAACCAAACAATAAGCTATAATTACGAAGCCAACCACACCAAGCCACAACGTTGGGCTCTCCATTCGATTATTGACACACATGATATTGCCGGAGACTGAGCCGCCGGGGAGCAGAGAAATAGTGCCGTTTGGGAAAGTGATAACCGGAGCTAGTGACGCGCGTGAAGAGTTTGGACACGCGCCTAACGTAACAAGCGTGGATGCACTGTAGCCGATTAAGCCGATGCCTTCGTTGTTCTGCAGACCGATAAACGCTAAAAACAATCCAATGCCCGCGGAGGAGGAGATCCGGACTGGTTTTGGAACTAGCTTGGCGAGTTTAGCTCGTAAACCCACGGTAGAGATTAATAGAAAAATCATCCCTTCGATGAAAACGGCGGCAAGTGCGCTTTCATAAGAAATGTTACCGGAGCCGTGAAATCCGACGACGGTGTAAGCAAAGTAGGCGTTAGTACCCATTCCCGGAGCTAAGGCCAAAGGTAAATTAGCGAAAGTTCCCATGATTACGCAGCCAATGAGAGACGATGCGACGGTAGCAACAATGAGGTCTTTCCGGACTCTTTCTAGACAGGCGGTGTAACCGGGGTTTACAGGCGGAAACTTGCAGGAGATGTCGGGTTGGATGAGACGGAGATCGGGACCGGTGCAATTGGAGGTGAAAGAGGGGTCGGAGCAGAGAGGGATGCAGTCGGAAACCGAACAAGTGGCGCCGGAGTCTGAGAGGATGGAGGCGTTAACAGCGAGGATATAGGCCATGGTGAGAAAGGTGGCGGTGCCTGCGCGGAGCTCTGTGGTGAAGGTGGTGTTACGTTCGTCGAGTTTGAAGCGTTTTCCGATTCGTGATCTGGCAACAAAGGTGTTGAGACGAGTTAGCGGCGGAGGTGGAACGGCAGTCGCCATTCGAGTTTGGTAGGGACTAGAAAGAGCAAATACCTGAGGAGGTGATCATGGCTTTTGCCTTGTGTTGTGTTTGTTCCAAAAAGAGAGTTTTATGGAGGGGAGATTGGTTTGAGATTCCATTGGATGAAATTTCTACATCCAATCTAAATATCCAAAACTAACAATAAATAAGTAATCATATATTAGTAAGGTTTTAAACAAAAACCAAATAAAATAGCATAACTATCTATTTAAAGTTAAAGTCAATTATATATAAACACAATCAAAGATTAAAAACATAATAAAATATAATTAAATGAATTATATTAACATATAATATAAAAAAGTTATAACATAATAATAGTTTGTACATATATTGAGAAACATGTTATTATTTCTCTTACAAAAAGAAAAAATAAAACTTATATAGATGGAAAAAGATAATATTTAATGATTATTTGATATACATTAATTAGCAAGAGTTGAAAATTTATATTATTAAAATAATATTTTAATTTATTTAATAAATTAATATTTAAGTAAATTACTGAAATCGTTATTGTGGTTTGATCAAAATTATAGGTTGAGTCCTTAATTTTTATGTTAAACTAAGAGCATCTTCAATGAGAATTTTTTTTAAAGCTTATTATTATTCATTTATTTATATTGAGTACTTATTACCATTGGAGCACTTAGTTTTTTTGCTTATTTTTATTTGACCACTCAATATATTATTGAGTGGTCAATATAGTTTAATCCTTTATACATTCAACCTCTCATTTTTTTACTCATATTTTATTTTACCGTTTTTAATTTATCTATTTATTACAAGTCAATTAATTCTATCAAATATTTAATGATATTTTATTTATGAAATATAAATTTATAATGATAATCTTTATTATAATAGTTTGTATTAAAATATAAATTTGTTTAAAAATGATTAACTAAATGGAGGGTATTATGTAGAACATGTTAAATAGATAAGGATAGATTAGTTAAATTTAAAGAAAACGTTATTGGGAGAGCTTAACCATTGGAAATGTCATTTAATTAAAGGTTAAAAGTAATGAGATGATTAGATGTCAATGACATTAAGTCATAGTATAGGTTAACCATTGGAGATGCTCTAAGACCATCTTTATAGTTAGTATGATTTTATTGTGGTTTTGGTTCGAATCCAAAAGAAAAGTTAAGAAAAATTAAGAACTAAATTTGTAATTTTAAGCGATCCGCATGAACAATTTCAATAATTTACTTTTAATATATTAAATGTAAGGCTATTCTAACCACTATTCTAATACTTATTTTATTAATTGTAGGAGTAAATTTAGAAGTACATAAACGAGAAAGGATAAAAATATGTCAATTTAATCAAGACAGAAGGTCAGAAGAAAAAAAAAAGTGGAGAAACAAAGCAAAACAACATAAAAAATAGTGAAGATTCAAATTAACTGTATTAATTCTTTAAGTGTGAGGACCAACAAAAAAAACCATATTTCTCAATTAGGATACTATGTTGATCATTTTGATTCGGGCACTATGCATATTATATTGGAATACGGTTACATCGAGGTTACAACGGATAAAAACAACTAGAAAAAATTGTAACTCTTATTATATAATGGTAGTTTAGGAATATTACATATAGATTATGTAATATCACTTACTAAGGTTCCAAAAATTACAAAGAGTTTTTTATGTATTAAAATAGATTAACTAATTAAGCATTTGTTTCAAATACCATTGAATAACATTTGACTGATTGCAAATCATACATTATCAGAATTAAGTTCACAAAACCGCGGAAGCGAAAATCTTTGATGCGTGTGTACAGTCCTACCGAGCTCTTCTCACGAACGACTGATAAAATGTCTAATCCACAAGTGTAAACATAAAGCTTAATGAATTCCCCAATATACCACATATTTCATCATATATACAATGCATCCACATAAAGTCCTCAACTCTAGCGCCAACCTATCAACACATAGACATACATTCATATTAGTATAGAACGTGTGAATGTTATGGTCATCCCATAGTCTTACGTACGGCTGACATGGTCCTCCCATAGTCTTCCTATCATGGTCCTCTCATGGTCTTTCATACAAATGTCATGGCCCTCTCATGGTCTTTCATATAGGCCACATAGTCCTCCCATGGTATTTCATACAAATATCATGGTCCATTGGTCCTCCCGTGGTCTTTCATGCAATTGTCATGGGTCACATCCTAGTCTTTCATGCATTACAAAAAGCTATACGAAGTCAGAGATCAGATAGACAATCGAACATATGATCCACCTGAGAGCGAACAATCAGACAAGAACATCGCAATAAGGCATTAGACCAATGCTATCCAACTTAAACTAAATAAACTAGCATATTACATTCCCTTGGCAACTAGCCTTCCCTAGTTACCCTGCCATTGATCACTTCTCAATTACGTCCTTCGCTGGTCAAACATACATAATCCTGATAACTGGCCTTCCCCAGTTACCCTAACCAAACATAACTCCTAACAGTATCATATGATAACAGGCAAGACCCTACCAGTCTAGCATACCAAGACACCAAGTGTTCTAAGTGCACATGCATAACAAGGAGTTTTCCTAGTCAACGAGCATACTTGTACCCTAACAATACCTTTATCCTACCATACAAAGGATATATAATGGGATACGTGACATAGTGAGAAACTCACCAGGCCTGAAGAATCGGAGAAGCACAACAAACCTTTCACACCTTGTACTGCTCAATCCCGTGAACCAACTGACACCAAAAGAAACAAATTCTCAATCAACAACCCAGAACCTCCAAGTTTGACCCCAAGTCAAACTGGCCAAAATGCAACAATCAATGGTCAACAAAATTCAACGACCACCACGACGTGGAGACCTCTTGGCCACGTCGTGGGCATGACATGACAAAATAGACGAAATGCAAGACAACGCCAAGTCGTAGGCCCTCCTTGGCTACATGGTGGGAATATCAGGACAACATAATCGCGGATCAGCATTCCGCTACATCATGGGCCCTCCTCGACCACATCGTGGTTACTACCAGAAGCGGTTTTTCTCATTAAGGACTTAATCCATTAAGTCCTTTGCTCCAACTTTCCAGAAGGATTTCTTGCCCTCAAACAAACCATAAAAATCCTTACTTTATGAATATGCATGTCTCTCCCAAAACTAGGTCTAAATAGGGTAAGAAATGGAGTTAAGACTTCATGCATGGCACCAATCAACATGAAAGTCTACATCTGAAACATATGATGACCGAGAGGCCTCAAGAAGTGATAAATTTGCCAACTTTATCAAAACCAACCATTCATATCAACATAACATGAAGAAAATGAGCTCAAAAATCTAGATCTACAAGGATGAACCATAAAGGTGAGAACTTGGAGACTTACCCAAGTCCAGAAGATGCACCAAGAGACAGAGACAAGATGCTAGCTAATTTTTTTCTCAACAAAGCCTTCCTTCGACCTTCAAATGAACAAAACACCAACAAAGGGCTCAAAAGACAAGATGAGAGGCTAGGGTTTCGACATAGGAGGATGGGGGCTGAGGGAGATGACCTAACCCTAGAGATAAGGCCTTTAAATATGGAGGAAACTGTAACGCCCGTGTTTCTAGCGAGGCATTAAAGATGATGTAATATTCTAGGCCAACCTTTGTAATTTGTTTTGAAATAATAAGATGTCTTATTTGAGTATTATGTGTTTTATACTTAATTATTATGATTTAATAAGTTAAGGATAAAAATAAGCGTCAAAAATAAATATTAGATGAACCCGATATCTATGAAGAAAGTTGTAGTGGTTGAAACAAGGATTCTGAAGATATAAAAAATACCGAAATCCGAGTTATAACGAAGAAGTTATGACCTGTCGAAGTTTCGTGACAGAACCGACACGACGTTGTGTGACGTAAAAAGTGAATTTACGATAAAGTGCTTTTAGCCTTAGCGATCTAATTGAAAGTCATAGTACACGTTAAACCGAGAGTGTGCATAAAAAGAATGTCCAAATCTGACTTCGTATGAGGAAGTTATGAATTTTCTAAGATTTGACATAGCAGTATGCAGCCTGAAACTCGAATTTTAGATCGAGTGATTTTTAGCCGAAACAACCTAAACGAGAATCGAATATCTTGTTGATAGTAGTTCAAAGGTAAAAAGACAGACGAAAACGGACGTCGGATGAAGAAGTTATGAATTTTTAACAGACTTTTCCTGTCCCGGCCTGTTAAAAATATAACATTAAAAATAAATTCAAAATTAGCCGACGGGGTCTAAACGAAAGTTTTAGAGCATAATTTCACCTACATGTGGATATAAAGAACATCAAAAACGGAGTCCGTATACGAAAGATATGAATTTTTGAAGTTCGGAGCACAAACTTCAAGACCTAACCAAGCTCATGACGTTAGCAAGTATGGTTCACGACGTGAGGTAGTCCATCGACACCTCTCAAGCCTAGAGCACACGCGTAAAGCCTACGAGCTGATCAGGACTGGGCTCACGACGTGAGATTTTATGGCTCACGACGTGAAAGTCGGATTTTCCACCTATAAATAGAAGTGTGAGGCATCCGATTTTTGTTTACAAAATTTTCACTCTTACACCTTCTACTTTCTTTTTATCTACACTAAATGCCCCCAAGCCTAGAGTATCATCCTAGCATCGTAAGCAAGCCCCGGAGAGCCCGAAGATCCCGAGAAAAGAGTTTTTCGAGACGAAACTCTGCCCGCGTGAAGCCCGGTTTTTGAGAAAACATCCCGGTTTCATCGAAAAAGATTGTTTTAATGGACGAAGTGTTGTCCAATCACCGTCTTATCAAGTGAGTGTATAGTCACTTTCATCTTACACATAGATATGAAATATTTTCTATAAAATACACGCTATGTGTAATTATATTGTTTGTTTATTTGAGATGGGTGTTGAATAGATGTTTTATACAACTTTTAAACTGTATATGTATTTTTATCTACAAATATGTTGGGTAAAACATGG